ATTCACCTCCTGTGTTGGCTAATGTAGGAGTTCATCTTCTCTCAGCATGAATCATCCACATCAGTAACAAATAACCTATAATAGGCAACTCCTCTGGATGTTCATAATTACTGGTTTTGGTTCATCCTAAACACAGGGTCATCATTCTGTATTGCTTTTAAAAATTTGCTATGGACAAACTGTCACAAAAAAAACTTGAAATGCAGCTAGAGACAATAAAGAAAGAGTTGCCATGTAAAGAACAGATAAAGACAACAGACCGACATGAAAACAGTTTTTAGTATTACCTAAATATTTCTTAAGAAATATGTAAAATAATACTAACTTTTAAATTTGATGTTCAATTTAACTCAGCCTCCTGTGTTTTTATTTGGTGGACAAAATGTATGAAGTAGTTTTTGTTTTGTTATTATTATTTTTGGGAAATTTTATGTTTGGGTTTTTTTTTTTCCTTTCAGCTACAACAAAATTAGGAACTGGCTTAGTCCCGATTGGAGAGATTAAAAACACAATTCCGAGCTGAGGCTGCTTATCATGCTATTGCATGCCAGCTTCAACCACGTGCTCAGCTTTCCAGCCGACCTCCTGATACTGATTCCATCTGATGGCTTGTATAAAGCCCTTGTTAGTCAGCAGGTATGACTGAGTTCCAGCGTCTCCCAGCATTGTCTCGAATAAAATCAGCTACTGTCCTCTGAGTTGAAAGGAGACCTTTTTCTTCATTATTACCCAGTCTCTGGAAGCATCCAGTCCCTACTTCCTACTCTTTATGACAGTCAGCATACAGTACTTTTTGTTCTAACAGGTGTATGAGGATGTATCTGATTACTTATTATAGGTACTTCATTTTTCAAGACATTAACAGAATTCCCTACAAAAGAGTCTGTTCCTGCCTTAACATGAACTAAGATGTTTTTTTCTTAATCCATAAAATGAGAGATCTTGCTGCAAATGTTGGTGTATCACACCAAGCACATTCTCTTTTTCTTGCTTTTGTGAACAAAAAAACAGTGTCATGCACTGAGTGAGAGCCATTGTTTAAGTGTGAGTGAAAACAATCTTCTTTCTGCTTATTTGATTAGATAACAAAGTTGTACTTACATTCTAGTGTGTGTAAACGAAAACCAGTTACTTTGTGAAGTTATTCTTATAGTTAGAAAATTGTCCTCTCCATCCGAACATCAGAATACTTGTTTTAAATTTTTTATTATGACAACAGTTTCTACCTTGTCTATGTAGAATTTTAATGAAATGGATACTCACAAAATAATTTTGTGAAATAGCATGTAAATGAGGCTATCAACATCTGTCTCTAGGGGCAGAGGTAACATCTGATTGGAGATTCTATAATCTGAGAGTATTTGTCATGAGCACATAGGCCTCATCATGTCTCTTTGGTAGGGACAATAAAATGTGTGGTTCTCTTAGAGCTTTTACAGAGTACAGGGATGTATTGAGCACTAACAATATTAAAAATTGGATGAGTTCTATTCTTTTAGAATTAAAAACATACATAAGAAGAGATGGACTGGACTGTGCACTGTCAGCTGCGTGTTTAAGAAATTGACAGTCGTCCTCCGTGCCATCCCACGTTAGCAGTGAAATTACATTTAATTTAGGAGATTACACACTTTTGTGAACCCCTCCAAAAAAATTCTTCAAAAATTGTTCTAAAAAATAATATAATAACAAACTCTACATGGGAAAATTGCACATGGAATATGTAAGTTCCTATGTCATCTGTCAGATTTTTTCTTATGATACAGGTACTCCTAATACTTTGAAGTCTTGTTTATCCTTTGAATGATTTTCTTGTTTTTTTTTTTTCTGAATTTTCAAATGATGATTCTCAAGTGCTTCTGGACAGTTTGGTTCTGTAATCATCCCACTCATTATTGCTTTATGTTTTATGTATTTATTCCCATTTTCCTTTGGAAAGAATTTCATTGGAAGGAAATTCATTGCATAAACTGGTACTTTTACTCATTTTATACTAACATGTAGACAAACAGCTAGACTCAGGTTGTCTACTAATTTCTTTCCCTCAGAATCTGTTGCTCAGTGTTGGTCACAGAGGAAGCACTGGGTATAAATGAGTGCATGAGATGTCTGCTCTGTGCCACTGGTCGGTTTGCTCGGTTTGATTATACAGACCACTTTAAAAATGGCAGCTACTTATTTTAAGTCACAACATTTGTTTGTCTTTAACAGTGATCTAGACTTATCTGGTAAGATATAAACATGTAGATGTAGCTAGAGTTTTCCTGCCTTGCCCACAGTCAGGACAAATCTTTGTCACCCACCAGTCCCACAGCTGCTCAGACCCAACCAAGTAAACACAGAGACTTATATTGCTTACAAACTGTATGGCCGTGGCAGGCTTCTTGCTAACTGTTCTCATAGCTTAAATTAATCCATTTCCATAAATCTATACCTTGCCACGTGGCTGGTGGCTTACCGGTGTCTTCACATCCTTCTTGTCATGGTGGCGACTGGCAGTGTCTCTCTCCCTCAGCCTTCCGCTTCCCAGAATTCTCCTCTCTCCTTGTCCCACCTACTTCTTGCCTGGCCACTGGCCAATCAGTGTTTTATTTATTGACCAATCAGAGCAATTTGACATACAGACCATCCCACAGCATGTAGATCCCCTACAGAGATTTTAAGCTCAGTTTGGAATTTTAATTAGAATTAAATTATGTGTTTTGTTTTATAAAGAGATTAGATATTTTCCCATGCATGTGGCCCACCTGCTGGCCTCTACTTTAGGCTAAATCCTTTTATTTCTTCCATAGTATTAATATTACCATTCTATATTTTATTTATACCTTATTTCTGTTAATCAAAGAAAAATTTAAAAATAATAGTTATTTAAAGACCATGTTGAACCAATTTATCTACTCAAGAAATTTTAGAAATTCAGAATGCTTTGAAAACATTCTTCAAATTCACATGCTATTCTTCAGTTCTGTTTGTGCATACCACCAATCTGACATTTTTATTTTATATAATTTATGACCATTTTTATTTGACATAGACAAATTCTGTATGGATCTCCCTCATGTTTATTATTTCTTTGCTCATCGTTGTTGTTGTTAAATTCCAAAACTTCCACGGGATTGTTTTTGTTCTTTTTTTTTTGAGACAGGGTTTCTCTGTGTAGCCCTAGCTGTTCTGGAACTAGCTCTGTAGACCAGGCTGACCTCAAACTTATAGAAATCCGCCTGCCTCTGCCTCCCAAGTGCTGGGATTAAAGGTGTGCACCACCACCGCCTGGCTGTCTTTGCTCATATTGAAGTTGATTCTTAGATGTTCCTCAGCCTTGGGTCTACGGTGGTAAACTTCTTAGGCTTATTATACGACAGATACTTCACAGACCCTTTCGTGAAGTGCTAGCCTTGCATGTAGCTCAGTACATTAAAGACAGAACCTCATCTTTGATAGGCCACACTTCTTGCTCCTTCAATTGTGCACTGTCTTTTTCTTTTGGTTATTTTTATCTTGAACTTCAACTATTTTTTCCCATCGTGTCTAAAAGGAAAATAAAAAAAAAAAAATTGAAATGTCTCAACCTGAATTTGTTATTTAAGAAAAGCTCTTATTTTTATTTGTTTGTTTGTGTTTTTTTTCCACTTTACAAACCTCTGTTTTCATACTTCTTTTCTCTTGTTCTTGAATTCTAAGCCGATATGTGTTTCACATTCTCACTCCATTTCACACATCTCATAAGCACTGTTTAGTGTTTATGGCTTTATTTTAAAAGCTAGAAGAGTTTCTCCACATTTTCTAATCTGCTACATCTCTCTCCATTTGTGTCTGGTCTTTTATGTGTTCTGTCTATTGAATTCTGCTATTAGTTTATTGTTCAATTTATGTTTATATGTTCATTTTCCCTAATGGTGATTGGGATTTCCCTAACCATCCCAGAATATTTAGGATAGTCTGTTATTACTTTTTCATATTCATTCTGTCTTCCCCCCAAAAATGTATCAAGTGTATAAATTTTACAGGTCTTTGTATATTTTAGAATTCTTGGATTAAGATATCAGATTTGTGACACTTTTCAAGGGAATGACTGTGGCTTTAATTTAACACACAATTCTCCCACAGATGATAAATGTTTGCTTCTGCCAGGTGGCTCCAAAGACACGAGCAACTTGAGATCAATTCTGACTAAATTTTTATCTTGGGGTTTGGGGACCACACAAATAGAATGGATTCTGGCCCAGGCCTGTGGTTACACTGTTTTCAGGATGGTTTCCCCCCACCATATGGAACCAAATATTTTAGCTTTTCCCTCTGGTTGGTACGATTTAGAATTCGTTCTTTAATAAATGTGTTGTCTTTTGAAGGTTCAAGTATGAGTACCTTATTTATAATTAAATTCTGCACCTTGATTGGTCCATCTCCTTCGTGGCTTGCATTCCATTCATTTGGTTCCTTGAAGGAAACTCAGAATCACCGGGACCTGGCAGATATGCACGGGGCAGCTGTCTAATGTAGAGTTGAAATGGATCTCTGGATTTATGCTTTCTTGTTTCTCTCTTTTATTTTTCTCAAATCCACTTCCTTTGTTTCTTGGCAAAATAATTGAGCATTTATAAAGATGTTTAAAACTTTATGTCCAGAATTTTTTGGATTTTTGCACTGGGGTAAGGGTTTTTCAAGGCATCTAGCCGGTACACTGTCAGGAATGAAAAGTCCAGAAACCATCCGTGCAAGTAATTTAATAAAAAAAATTTCTTTAAAAAATTAAAGAAATGCAATTTTATAATTATCAAAGATAAGGGTAAGTTGCTGAGTCATGTTGTCACTCATATCTGTTGCTTAAATCCTAATTATGAAGTTTTACTCTTTCTGTGTTTGAAGTTTATGACCTCCAGGCAATTTTGCTCATGTTCTGTTATGAGTTTGTTTTCTCAGAAGCACTTCTAGAGTTCAGGGTGCAGTCATTACAGTTGGAACAAGCCTCGTTAATACAGAACCAACATTTTCTTTCCCAGTCATGAAGATTTCCATCTTCCAGTTTGGATTTCTGTGTGTGTGCTGGACTCCATGAGTGGTGAATGATGGTATCAGTGGTTCCCATGGACCTTGGCCCTCCAAATCACTCTAAAGATACTCCCCAACTTTTAAGCAGGTATAATATATTCACTAATTCTGGTATAAATCATAATTATTGCAGCTTTACTTGAATATTCTTTTAAGTGAATTTTAATATCAAGCAATATGTGTATTCTAATTCTGTACCCCAATTTTACACAATGAATTAAGATTAACTGTGTTCCTTAAGAAAAAGATAAATTTGTCTTTAGCTAAAGAAAAGGCAAAAAACAAAGACAAGGAGAAAAAAAAGAGGAAAGGAAAGGATAGAAAAGGAAGCCAGCAAGATGACTCAGGCAGTAAAGGCACTTGCCTCCCAAGCCAAACAACAACCTGAGTTCAATCCCTGGGACCCACATGGTGGAAGGTAAGAACTGACTCCCACAAGTTGTCCTCTGACCTCCACATGTATGCTCCCAAATAAGTGCAATAAAAATATCTTTTAAGTAAGAGAAAGTAATTTAAGAAGACTACTACAAGTGTCCCTAAAGTTTAGAACCAAGACTAGGGCAATAGCTCAAAAGTAAAGAATGAAGAAAGTAAGCTTTTCTGTCAGTGGTTTGCCCGTTTATAAACATTCTGCTAACGGAGTGGATTTGCTGTGATCACCCTCTTTTATGCTACTTTCTCTGCTGACAGCTAGCTTTTGCTATCGATCTGTGAGAGTTGGAATAGCACTAGCACAAATAGGTTTTAACATTCTAAATGGCGAAATGGAACTCTTCACATTTCTCATTTTATTTCCCTAGTGAGACACACACTTTTCAAGTAGCTAAACGTCACCCCTTTCTCTAATAGCCTCTGTGTTCAGTCCCAAGTTCAACAGATGATCTTTCCTAGCCAAGGACTCAGGTAAGAAGCTAAGCTACAAAAGATAGTCTCCTTCATTTATTTATTTATTTATTTATTTATTTATTTATTTATTTATTTATTTATTTAATTTCTGTGTGTGTGTGTGTTTGTGTATCTACCCTGTGTGCAGGTGTGTCTGTAGAGGTCAGAGAGGGCATCTGGGCTACAGCTGCAGATGGTTGTGAGCTGCCTGACGTAAGTGCTGGGAACTCGATTTGGATCCACTGGAGGAGTGTCAAGGGCTCTTAATCTCTAGGCTGTCTCTCCAGACCCGAATTTCTTCTTTTAAAAGGCAATGCATTTCTGAAAAAGTCATCCCTCATGTTTCAGTTGGCCATCTAGGTTTTTCTAGATCTGAACCACCTCATGATACACACACACACACACACACACACACACACACACACACACACACACACGCGCACACACACACACACACACACACATCTTTTCAGACAATTCTTCCTAATATTTAGTTTGGATGATTATTCTTTAATACTAATATTAAAAATGTTAAGGAGAGCAACTCTTTTCTGCTTTATTGCTTTATTATAATACTTCACTTCAACAATAATTATATACATTTAATTGGTTAAAGGTATCTTCTAGATTCTAGTTTATGTACATTTATTTTTAACCCAATATAAGTGTAAGATGGTTTTTCATGCTTCCTTTGGTCAATCTCTTTATCTCTTACTATTATTAATCTTTGTTTTTATCTGAGAATGATAGCCATAATTACTGTGTGTGTAGTATATTTTACACACTTTACTTCATTTGATGCCCACTCTGTGGGTAGAACAGAACTGAGTTGTGTTGAACAGAACTGAGTTGAGTGTTCTCCACTCAGAAAATGAGGTTCAATGTCACTCACTACAGAGCTTGCTTGATGTCTACCTGCTGATAATCAGGAATGTCCAGAGCTAAGCTCTGGGCTCACTGCGGAGTCCAAGATGGAGTCAGTGGTTGTTAAGATCCATTTTATAGAGTTCATGGACAAGCAATGGCACTATGAATTCCAGTGTTTTTGTTTGCCTGTGGTCAAGCATTTTTAAGCTTGACTTCCAGCATGCTTCTCATTAATGCCTCTTCCTCAAGCATATCCATAACTACAATTATAAGATGATTTCCATTTTCTGTTGTGGTATTTTAGGACTTCATGGAGTCCAGGTAATGATTGAGAATGGACTGATTTAAGTCCTAAAACTTTGTTTCTTAACTCTTCATCCTGACATCTACAGTCTTCTTACCCTGTCTGCTTCCTCCCTGTCACCAATCTCTATGTTTCTAATTACATCAGGGATCATTTATTTGTATCAGATTAATGCCAGGAAGTGAAAAATACATATCAGTTCTTTTACACCAATTCTGAAAATTCTATTGCCATACCTTGATATGACATATTCCCATCTTTTGTTTATAAATTCCAAGAGTCCTGAGAAATTTCACAAGTTGCAAACAGTCATTTGTTTACTAATGTGCAAAATTTCAGTAAGTGAAAACAAATTTTGGAATAATATTTATTATTTATAAATTTTATAAATATTTATAAATAATTACATATCAAATTTGCAGAAGATAGATGATAGATGCTAGTGGCATATATTATTACTTCTATTCGGTGAGTTTGAAAACCATTTTAATCCCTTAAAATGTCATTATGTCTACGGAAGAATTAATAAGAATACCTTTAGCCATCATTATTTAACTTTTGACAGGTTAAAAAAAAAGTCAAACATTAGAATTGATATTCACTGCATTAATTCCTCACTGGACCTGTGCACTATAGGCAAGTACTCATCCACAGAACTACACACCCTTAGTGCAAAGAGAGCCTCTTGGAGTTCAATAATATGATGCTCAAATTTGATAAAATATAGTGTATATCTCCAGAATTGAGCTATTATGAAGATTGTTTTTATCTCTATAGGGTAAGAAGAGGAAAGAATCAGAAAGATGACATGCAGAGGAAGCACAGAAAAAACAGAGTCAATTCTGGAGAGAAAGCAAGCCATGCATTGTGATGAGCCCAGTGTCATGTGTACCGCCTTCACGTTTCCAATGCACACAGCCATGGAAAGTATTGTAAGAAGACAGTCTTAACTTATTCTAGCCCTATATTATTTAAGATAGGAGACCTTCTCATCAGGAATACCCATATTCATATTGCTTCCCTTGATTTCTGTCTCTGTGTGGCCTTGCATAGTTAAGTACAGTAAAGGGAGAGCAAATAAAACAAATGAAAGTAACCGGCTAATGTGTGCAGGACCTCAGCACACTGGAAGAGTGTTGTGTGAAAGACGGCATTGGAGCTGGGGACTGGGCAAGGCACTCGGACTGGACTGCAGCTGGCAGAACCACCATCCTTGAACAGAGGTCAGGAGAGGATAACAGGAGATAGTAAAACCAGAGCTGCCCAAGTCTGGGTTCATTTTGTCTTTTCTGTAAAAGAAAAAAAGGTATAAAAATAAATTTAGGAAACCCAAACCTGGCCTTCTTTGAGTGACCATGGTAATCCACATGTAAATGCATCTTCACTTATCTTTGGGTTCCTGGTGAAAATTAACTCCTTGCTCAACCCACTATGAAATCAATACCTCCTGATGAATTATGCAAATAATAATGATAATATAAATACTGGCTGTTTAGTTACTAATATTGTCACCAAAAAGCAAGTCATAGAAATACTTTTCATGTTTTTCAATAATTTTTAAAAAAGAAACCATTGATATTTGTCACAATGACATGAGCCATCCCACGAAAGTTTTAAGAGTCTGAGGCATGTAAGAAAATATAGAGGCCCTACTAAAGACAAAGCTTTGGTTAATTTACAGAAAATACATCTTGCCCAAAAAATGAAGACCAGTTGATTTACTAACTGTGAATGTCTTCCAGAATGTCAAATTTTTACAGTTTTAATAAACGTGCTCAAATTTCAAAAGAGCACAACAATTTGTTTTTTGCTGCAAAACAAAGCAGAACACGTGAATAGACCAACAGCAGTTATGAAACAAAGCAGGTAGCTGGGAGTTCACTAATTGAATAATTCCTGGGTGTTAGTAAGAAGTCTCGTGACCTACACATGCCACTCTGGGCCTGTTTCAGCACAACAAGTTAGAGATCAACACAGTATCTTCAGCCCTTGGTTTCTTCCAGATTATATAACCAGCTGGAGGTCAGGCCCCAGACCGGAGAAAACAGGGTTCAGAAACAAACTCTGGAGTCTATTCCCAACTATTCCACAGTTTTCCTCCATGGCAATAACTGCCATCAGACATATTCCTGGAAGTTCCAATTGAAGTTCCTCACGTTTCATATTGATTATGAATATTTGGAGGTGTATTTCAGGGTACATTATGCATTCCTGTGAGTCAATAGGGGGAGCTCTCACATTGCTTTTATATGTATCTTATGAATAATAGAATTATGTTACTTTATATTTGCAAAGATCGGGGTGGGGGGATTATCTCATTGCAGCCAGGCACTCATATGCAAGAGGCATCCCCATGCCCACTAGTGACATTAAGAAAGGCCGTACTCTCAGGCATCCAGCAAAGCTCAGGCTGGGATGTGTGAGCTATTTCAGGTAATATTCGATATCCATCTTGAGATGAAGTTAAGGAGCGGTTTGATTTGTATACTGATCTATGTGTTAAAACCATCAGGGAAGTTTTATAGTGTTTGGTGCAAGAAACTCTTTCATTAGTACAGCACTCCTGGGTGTTGAACTTGCAACACAGCTATAACCTAGCAGGTGTACTTAAATTATTACTGTTTGATTATGTATTTCAGAGGGCTGGCATCTTTGTTCTTTATTTGTATCCCTTGGTGGGTACATTAAGTATCATGTATCACCTTTTGTGGAGTATAGAAGCAGTTATCATTGGCTCTCTAGAATATTGGCTTTCTTCCATTTACTAGGTCTCTCGTAATATTAATTAGAATAAAATCATGGACTTGGTAACTCAGCTTCCAAATGAAACTCATACATTAGTGTTAATATAAAAGGAAAATGAGATACAATTTTAATAGACTTTCTTTTTCTCAGTAAAGCTGTGGTTTGTACTTCGGATGGGATTTTATTGCTCACTGTGATTTATGCCTACTTTATCTAGTGGTTCGTGGTAACCAACAAATAACCGTTCATAGTTTTTGGCCATCCCCCTCCCAAACACAACTATATTTTAAAATATGGAAAAGTAATTTATAAGGGAAATGAAAAAATCTTACATGGAAGATTACATAAAATACATCTGTCTTTCCAAGCCATTGAGATATATAAACAACTCATTAAAACCCTTCAAAACCAAGAAGAGGGACAAAAGATTCTTTTATTACAATGGACTCTTGAAAAGAACTCTTTTTCCCCTCAAAGAAGTACAACTTCCCTTTACATCTAAATAAAAATCACGGTTAAATATGTATATATTCACATATTTTTGAATAACATCATTCAAGTGTTTTTCTTCAGAAGAACAGTGAAGGGGCAAAAACACAGAAAAATAAACACGTTTGGCAGCCAGGAAGCTTTTTCATTCAATGAAAGTGGAGTCTTTTGTTTTTTACTGGAAGGTTTTTCTTTTTATGTCAAATGAAATTTTAAGATCACCTATGAGTTTGGAACTAAATCCTTCCCTGCCAAATCCGATTCCAATCCTTAAAATCTGTTTTTGTAATCCTGCCAGCAATGCACTAACTTTAAATAGGTAGCCAGACATATTGGCAAAAATATATGTGGTTAATCAAATAAAGCTATGTAGCAGTTTGGAAGCAATCAATCAACTTTCAGAATCTCTTAAGTATGAAGCTGCCGTGAAGACATCAGACGGGCAGTGAAATATCGCAATCAAGCTGCGTGTGCAGCTGGTTTTGAATTCATCTTCTTTGTTTTTAAGTTTTCATAGACTTGTTTCTTAACTATGAATTTTATAAGTTTTTGAAGAAAAAATAAAACGTACAGCTAACAAAAACAAAAACTGGCTATGCAATTGGAAGATGGAACACACATTAGCTCTGCCAACCTGAACTTCACCGGAAGATACATGTGACGAGTTTAAAAGCTTTCTTTTGTATTGTTTTAACTTGATTACATTTGTTTCCAAATAAAAGAGTATTGTCTTAAAATAAACCCTGATATCAGGACACAAACACATTTCAGTCTTTACCATCTTATATTTCAAATAGTTTACGTGAGAAAACATATATCCCTTTTTAGTCATGAACCAAAAATAGCACTTTTTAAATGTATTGTGTGTGAGCCTTAAACGGTAATTTCCAATACTTTGGTTGGGTGGGTGTGCTTTGTTCTAACCATAAGTGTAATGAATTTGTAATTTAAAAACTTAGCATATGAGTGAGCAATCTCACATCATCAAAACAAAATGATGTAACCAAATAACAGCGCTAGGGTGCTGAACAATCAAGATCTCCTTTTCAGCAACTCAGGTTAATTTTTCTGAATCTGACTAATACAGATCTGCACAAGATCAAGGCTGAATTAGGTACAGGCTAATAACGTTAACTCCTGACAAATCATGCTTCTTCATATGGTCCCTGTGTGCACATGCCTGCATGCATATATACACGCACATTGACATGGGTATTCATTACGGTAGTTTTTTATTATACTAAAGTCTAGTTTATATCTTTTTTTTTCTCATAGGTTTTGTTAAACACTACCAGACTTGGTTTGGGGTGAAAAAAAAAATCTAAGGATTATTTCTGAATTGGAGATACATAGGCATTTGGGAAATGCCTTGGTGGCAGTGATGAAATTGGTTTGTTTTTTAATCCTTTGAAAGTTTCATAGATGTATATACAATGTATCTTGACCATAGCCAGCCCCCATCCCCTCCTCTAACTCCTCCTACCCCCTTGGCTCTCTACCAGTATATCTCTCTCCCAGTTTCATGTCCAGGAAACTCTCTCCCTACAAGCTAGCTTTCATAGTGCCAGGAGGTGTAACAAGGGAAGAAGGACATCACTGGTCTTTCCCAACCTTGGACCCCAGCATGCTGCAATTCCAACCTGTCAAACAGATGTGCTCACTGCTACAATAGTGATGAGACTGTTTATAGAGGTAACCAACTGCTCTCTTAATCGGATCTGAGGCCTGCTGCAAGAAGGAAATCATGCCTAGTGCTGTACACAGAGTTGAAACACGTAGTCACAGGCACGAGGGGAGAACCTATTAACCTTATCTTGCTTGATGGTCATGTTGTCAAGCTGCCTTCTAACTATTGATGCCAGTAGATTTGTGCTACCCCCCAGCCATAACCAGGGAAGCTTCTTACTGAAGTGGGTAATGGTTAATACAGAGGTGCAGAACTGCTTGAGTTGCACAGAATGCTCAGCCTTTGAGAGGAATACATATCTCATGCACCACCACCCTACAGAGAAATCTTGTCGGGGGTGGGGGGGGGGCTACAATGTAAGTCCCAGAGATGAGGAGGAGTGTTGTAAAATGCTGTCTTCTGGATATGACACGCCTTTTGCATGTATGAACTCACAGAGGCAACCATTACCTGCACAAAACCCGCCCAAGGTCAAAAAGTTCCAAATTTCTGCATGGAGGAGAACGGAGTTCCAGGGAGCCCATCCCAGGCTGAGGAGCTATTGGCAGTTGATGACTGCTGGGAAAGGGAGAGTCACTTTTCTTTCCGGGGTGTGGTCACTGGCAGGTTGCCCATGCCCCAGGGGATGACGCCATACCCGTGTGTATATGGGCAACACTAACTGGACTCAATCAATCAATCAATCAATCAATCAATCAATAAATAAATAAACAATTTTAAAAGCCACCAATATTTGTTTATGAGAAATGTGCATGAAAGCAAGGCAATGCTAGGTATGAGGCTGAATTCACAGCTAGAATTTCATCTTCAGATGCAATAGCTGCTGGGTAGTGTAAACACAAATATGCTGGAAGAGTCAACATGCTTTTTATCCCTGTGATAAAAGCACTATTATTATGTGAGCAGGAGAGCTGATTATCATAAATAAATTCAGGATAAAACAATAAGACAGAGTAACTGGCCCACCCTACCCCTCCTCCCCACCCTCACCCTTGGCTGCCCTATCTACTGAGAAGAATTTGCTCAGAGCTGAATAAATTCCCTCCACTCAGCCTGCCTTGCCTTCTAGTGCCTTCCACTTCCTGCCTAGACTATGTTACCCTCTTCTGTATTCCCCAATACCCCCCACCCACATCTTCATGATGGCCCTTAAATGCTTGGTGTATGTGTTTCAATACATATCTTTTTGTTTTACACTCCTTGAAGGCAAGAACACTTCATCATCATTGCATGCACAATTGTTTTTATTATGCCTGCCTGAAGGTTAAGTATAGAAAGAATGCACACATAACTCACATTCTCCACCTAAGCCCTTCTGTACATGAGG